ATTATGAATATTATGCCTCAGCCATAAACAGACCTACAGAAATTAATCATTCTTGCCTCTCAGTGCAAAATTTACCAAAAAAGTGCCGGTCTGTTTGTCACTTGCTTTTGGCTATACAGGTCCTTATATACTTTTGTTTACTTTCTAAATGAGTTGACATAAATTCGGATTATCAGAGACCCAGAATACTAGTACTACTAAATCAGGCTTCAAGGATGTGTCGCAATGTGTCTCAACAACTGAGGCCACACAGACTTAATTTTATGGATGACATCCTCTGAAGACCCCCAAACTAGTGCGCGCGGGCGAATAAAAAAAATTCCAGCCAAAAATAAAAAATGCTACTTAACCACAGAATACAAAGCTAGTATTGTGAATTTACTGCAATACATAGCGACATATACGACAAGCTGGCACATGCCGGCTTTTTGCGGAATATATGAATTGGCACTGTAGGTATGTACTGAGTGGTGCAGCTTGGCAGCCTGGATGCCCTCCTCCAAAGTTACCACAGGCTCCTTAATGTCACTAGCTACCATGGACTACCCAGGCCTAGAGCCAGGCCAGAGCCTCGGAGGGAGGACGTAATCCTTTTTCTTTTTTTTTTTTGAGATCGAGAACAGGCGAAAATAAATGCGCGCGCGGATGTCATCCATAAAATTAAATCGGTGTGGCCTGATAATGTAAAAGGTGATTTCCACAGATGTACCATTGAAGGTGGACAAGACAGAATCTCTACGGCCAGGGGGCGCACCCGACTTGTATGAATGAATGAATGAATTCGAACTTTATTGCTCGACAATCGTACATGGTACAATGTGTGGCAGTAATACAGCAATACTACAAAACTAAACTATCTTATAACATTTCTTACTACAAACTACTATCTATACAGTATATGAGTTACAATATGGTCATGTACTGATGATATGGTCTCACTTATGAAATAAAGTGTACAGAAACTGGCCTACATAAGCAGATATGGTAGTTGGACATGACAATAATTCATGGAATGTATCGTACTGTGTACCAGATTGGGTGAATTTTGTCTTAGTAGTAATAGTCTGTAACAATGAATGTCTTTCTTTTCTATAGGTGGGACAAGTCATAACAAAGTGAAATTCATCTTCAATATTCTCATTACGTGTGGGACACAGTCTCTGAGTGGCTGGTGTGTTGTGGTGTCGACCTTTTTCGATTTGAAGGCAATGCACGCTGATTCTCAGTTTTGTTATGCTAGTTGCGAACGATTTATTATAAATTGATGTGAGATAATCTTCCATGCCAAAATACTTTTTGATTTTAGAATATGTATGAAGTTTACTAGTGTTTCTAAGTTGTTCTCTCCAGCCAGAAAGAATTGTCTTCAAATCGAAAAAGGTCCACACCACAACACCCCAGCCACTCAGAGACTGTGTCCCACATGTAATGAGAGTATTGTTGTATTACTGCCACACATAGTCACATTGTATGACGCGTTTCTGTCTGACGTGTCAGCTGCGCCCCCTGGCGGCGAGGCGTGAAAAATGAAACCTAAAATTTGTGAAACCGTTCCACAGACGCACTGCCATGACTGCAGAAGACTTGCTTGTGAAATGTAAACCGATGGTAGGGAGTCAATAAATATTGCACCAAAGTATTTGGCCACGTGTTTTTAATTATGAATAAAATATGTGTATATGTGCATTATGATGATAAATGAGAAGCAACGTTGCCACATAATTTAAAATATGGCTCTTATTTGCGAAATCAATGATTAAAATTGTATGATTCGTCAACCACCAGGGTTAACATCATTTGGCGAAGGTATGATGTCGTGGAACTCTAGTTTGTCTATAGGTTAATCCTCTTGTAAAGTCCTTATCAGAAACCCACAGGAGATCCTCCCTTCCGCGAGTCGCTGGCCGCGCTGATGACGTCACCTTTCGTGGCCACGCTACTGACATGGGCGGAGAATTTCACCTTAGTCACGTGATTCTTCTTCCGTAGACCCTCCAGGACGGCCTAGTCGTGAGTGTGGAAAATGAAATGAAAAACTTTTATTGTACATTCATGCCACGATGGGCTAGGTGCAGGTCAAGACTTGACACATAACAAACGTGTGTAGAAAAGTGGACAAAAAGACAAAAAGATACACTACATGACTTAGACATGCATACATACGGAACATACAGGGATACTATACTACTACACTAGGCTAATACAAAGTGTCCTAGTTACTGAGCTAATACAGAGTGGTCAACTTCTTCTCGCTTTTTTGTACAATGGAAAATGTGGGAACAGTTCATGTTTGTGATACAGGGTTTGTCCAGATGCATCAAAAATATAAATTTATCGTTTGCATTTAGGTGTTCAAATGGAAACTTCTCTTTGATATGATTGAAAAGGACAGATCTTTCATTAGCATATAGAAGTACAGTCTAAAATAAAGTGTTCTTCATCTTCTATTCTATTCATGTTACAGTATTGACAGAGTCTATTCTGGAGAGGAATGCGGTTGTGCCTTCCCGTTTCAATGAGTAATTTGTGGCCAAAAATACAAATTCGTGCCCGGAGGCTAATTGCAAATAACAAATATAAAAGGACAATAAAACAGATAAGAGTATATAATAACTAAAATCTGCATGATAAAAGGTAGTTTAAAGCTATAGCTATGTATAAAACTACGTCTAAGGGGTTTGACTTGGCCATGTGTAGTACAATGAGACTGTTGACTGGGGTGGCCATCCCATGTGTAGTACAATGTGACTGTTGGTTGGGGTGACCATGTGTAGTACAATGAGACTGTTGACTGGGGTGGTCATGTGTAGTACAATGAGACTGTTGACTGGGGTGGCCATCCCATGTGTAGTACAATGTGACTGTTGGTTGGGGTGGCCAAGGATTGCATGTTTCTTAAGCTTTGCCGGGTAACCCCTGAACTCTGACACCCATCCAATCCGGCAACCTGGGAGTATTTCTAAATGAGTTGTCTGCACATCGTGAAGAGTAACTATTGTTGGACATAAGCCGGCATTGGGGGGGGGGAGGATTCTAACCTTCAGCCTATCGATGCTGGTGCAGGAAATGCCCAATAGTTGTTTTATCCAAACGTACGAAACTAGAAGTTCGCACCATCGAAAATTAAACTATACTGTATGCTTCACTCAAAGCTGGGATTTAGCCACTCCCATGTCAGAGGTGACACAGTTTTTTTTCATAAACAGCTAAACTGGTTAGACTTCTTTCCATGCCACAATAAGTGATTCCGTGACGGATCGGCGCCGATATACCATCGACACGCCGTCCACTTTGTGCCTCACAGGTGGGAAAATATTCACTGTATCTCTGAGGAAGGTTTGCCGTGGTGCATAGAGAAGTTATTACTCGCAGTGATGTGAGACTTGATATCTTTACGTCTCACCCTAGAGAACGTCCCTAACCGAAGCCAGGTAGTACTCTTTTGCACCAGTGATGAAATAATGGTAGTTAAATGCCTTTCCCAAACAATATCGGGGCCTGCCAGGGATTCGAACCTTGAAGTGTTGATATCTACTCTGATTTGTATCGTTTGCCAGGTTCCTTAATTAAATTCAACCTAGTTTCTGAAACTAAAACGATCATTGCGTTGACTCGGGTTGTAGTTGTGGCGGCAGGAGTACCGATATTTTGTCACGGCCCATGTTTCGGTCGTGCGCTCCTGGCCGTTTGATAGAACATGTCGCAGTGTCGATTGACATCTTAACCCCATTACCTACCTAATGGGACACAGGTGGTCGCCTGTTTATTGTTTAATGAAAAATAGCTTACCAATAGATCTCGAAACAGGTGATATAAGACAGTACTTCTCATGATAACTAAAGGCAACTCTTTTAGATGCAGTTTTCTAACTCTTGAAAGCTAGTTGCAATCATTACATGCACACAAGGGTACTAGTATTAGACAATGAAAAAGTAGGTCAGAGCAAAATGCAGACAATCTCAGCAGGGCAATTAGTCACTTTGTTCTTTTCTACGCCAAACTATTACTTCAGGCCGTGATCATTCTATATTGCATGCCCAAACAGGATTGCTTGATCAGCGATGTTGTGATCACTACTTACATGTAGGTGATACAATTCACAAATTAAGTATCGTTAAGTATGTGGCTTGGCGGCTGGTTTAAAACACACAAACACTCACACACAAACGCACACACACTCACACACACATAGACACACTCGTGCGCACAAACGCACACACACGCACATAGAGGTCCCTACCAGGATCTTTAAACATAATGCGGTAGGTCAGCTGATAGATTTATTTGATATATTGATATATTCAAAAATAGTCCTTCGTTGCAAGCATGGAGTGTGTCACCGTCCGAGGCGTCCTCACAATAACGCTACTAGCGGCTGTGATCCATCTGCTGCTGAAAGGATGGTTCCAACGGCATGACGCGACCGTGGGACGGCCGTGCCTGCGTCCCCAGCCGGCCGGACGGGACCTCACGGGAGGCCCGTATGCACACGGGGCGGTCGCCACTGACGCCCTGGAGTGTTCGGCGATCGGCAGGTACGTGACCTGATTCTATTTATAGTAAACAATGGTTATTGTTCATGTCATACAGTCTTGTGTTTAGAACAACACAGTGGCACTGCAACAATGTAACCATGGCAAACTTGCATCTATCAATGCAAAATGCCTCTAGTTTAGTTAAAAACAAAATAGACATAAACTGAATACACAAAAGAACTTGAAACTTGAAGTCCGTGTTATCTGTTATCTGCAGATCTTAGGGTGGCCGCAAAGACAGTATCAAATTGGTCAGGTAGTATCAATTTCCCAGAGAGGGTCCATTATTCCCGATGATCGTTATACAAGTACGAAAATTAGATTATAATATACACAACACGATCGACATCTAGAATATTATTTCCGAGAAGTATTATAGGCATCATTAATCGTCAGATATTGAGTGAGAAGGTCGTGACACCGTCATTCAGCACTTATCTTTTGGGGTAGAAGTAAGAAAAATAAGGTGGCATTTAAAAACGCCTCGGCGACATAATTCCTTTGTGAGTGTGAGATGTGTTTTAGTTATTGCTGATGGAGGTGGTTTTTAAAGTGAGTGAGTGAGTCAGGCATACGTTTCTCTTGAGGATGTAATAAGCACGCTCTTATTTTAAGACAAGAGGAAATTCTAGCATTTCTTTATAAATTTTGCAAATTACGTCCTGATTTAGCCACAACAGGCCTTTCTGTGATAACCCCTGCATTTACTTCTATTTAAACACGCACTAACCGTACTCTAGCCTGGATCCAAGACTGTTTCCCGGGCTTACTAAAGCCAGCTCCTCTGCTCCAGGAAATGTCAGTTAGTCCCTGAGGGTCCAACCATTGTAGACCGTTATTCTCGTCTTGCTGATTCAGTACAAGACGACCTGTACTTATCCCGTTGCGGTATTGCTACAATGAAGGTCGACATTAATTCAGATTCGTTTTTCACGTTCCAGTGACATCCTGGAAAAAGGCGGTTCTGCCGTGGACGCCGCCATCGCGAGCCTGCTGTGCATCGGGCTGACCAACGCGGACAGTTCCGGGATCGGGGGAGGTCTCTTCATGACAATCTACAACAGGGAGACCCGCACGGCGGAAACCATCAACGCCAGAGCCATGGCGCCTGCTGCGGCCACGGAGAACATGTTCCAATGGAACCACAAGCTGTCCACACTAGGTAGTGTTTATACATCCGTGAATAGTCTCATCAGGTTGGAAAGAGACTGTATCCGCGTCAAAAGGTTTTTAATACGACAACCAGTGGGACTGAATTTGTAATAACAATGACAATGACAGCGAGAATGAAATATTTGTAATACTGCAAAAGCGACACCTAGCTGCTGCAGTGCGAGTCAGAACCTGAGCCATCGCTGCCCTGAAGAGGTTAACAGAGGATAACCGAAACGTCGGATGTACAAACCCACTGGTTGTTGATTAAAGACCCTCCCTAATAGAGGTGCTATTTTCTGTGCTGTCCTGCGTTTTTTTCTTTACCTGTATAAAGCCCCGTACAATTGCCGTGCAATAAAGTTTATCTGTATACGCGTCTAGGCGGTCTTGCCGTCGCTGTACCCGGTGAAATCCTGGCGTTCTGGAGGGCCCACCAGAGACACGGGAAGCTGCCGTGGAGAGACCTGTTCCAGCCGGCCATTCAGCTGGCAGAGGAGGGCGTCTGTATTGGAGGATATTTAGCCGCAACAATAAACGAGAAATCAGTCGATATGAAGAGACCGCAGAGCGGTTTGTGGTAAATATTGAGATTCTTCAGTTCGTGCATGTGCAAGAGAAAGCGTGTGTGTGTGTGTGTGTTTGTTTGTGTGTGTGTGTGTGTGTTTGTTTGTGTGTGTGTGTGTGTGTGTGTGTGTGTGTGTGAGAGAGTACGTGTCTCTGTGTGTACGTTTGTGTGTCAGTTTGTGTGTGTACATGTGCGTCTCTCTCTGTTTCCTACCAATACTATATGTGAAGGATGGAGCCCTGCCATCTTTGATTGTCACGTTTCCTTTCACAGCGACGTATTCTGTGACGAGAACAACAACGTTCTCAGGGAAAACCAGATCATGAAGCGAGCAAAGCTTGCAGAGACGCTCCGTGCGGTTGCTGATGGAGGTGCAGACGTCTTCTACCAGGGCGAGATCGCCAGGAATCTGGTGAAGGACATACGAGACGCAGGTACGCGACGTCATGGTGTTTATTAAGTCTAAACCAATTGTTCACAAGTATGTATCCTTCCCTTCCAGACCCTCTAGATACCTCCGATCGCACATGCTTACCCCCATTAGAGTAAGGACATCAGCCTTCAGCTCTTCTTACATACCAAGGCTGGTCACCATCTGGAATCAGCTGAGTCCTGTCCTCCGTAATATTGGGGTTCAAGCCTCTGAAATGTCCAACATCTTGACATTCAAGCGATCGCTTGTGAGAGCCACGTTTATGAGATTTGACACCCAGTTCAATATCGACGTTCCCTGCTCCTGGTCCACATCTTGTGGGTGTGCCTCATGCACTGCTTTAAGGCCGCATTAGTATCATAATTAGCTTTTTAATCTGTACATAATGACATTTGATAATTTTTGTACATAATCAATTCTCTGTATAACTTTTACCGAATTGTATATTTCATGTCTACTGATTTTTGATGTCTTATGTCTAATGTTTATTGTTTGACTTGGTTCCGTATTGTTTTGTATTATCATTTCAGGTTTGGGAGGACAACTTGTAAAGGCGTTGATACACCTGTTTTGTCCTCCCTTCCACTTGTTTTTTGCATGTGGTGAATTCAAATAAAGAAATAAAGAAATAAAGAAAAGGTATTCACCTGGATGTTTCTAAGTTAACTTCAAACCAGACGTTTAGATACAGGTAGATGACACACTGTGTGCATGCAGCATAGCACACCGATATCCCAAAATGTTCCACGACCTCATACCTTCGCCAAATGTTTACCGTGACGAATGTTGACAAATTAAATGTTTTTTTAAATAATGAAAACAAGATCCTCATTATATTTATATGAAGTATGTCAATCGATCATATTCTCCACCTGATAACAGTCTTATATTATGAAAGAGGGCTATTCTAGAATTAATTTCTGCATAAATTATGCAAACGAGGTCCGAGCTTCCAAATGACACAGGTATGCATTTCCCGGCTGTTACCACTATGAAATTATAGCACATTAGGTCTTCATTTGCATCAATAATATCTGCCAACGTTACTCTTGTTGAGAATTGCATATGTCACAAGTTTTTACAGTCCTATCACCGAAGGTAACAGATTTATAGAATTTCCTCATGAATTATGCAAATTAGATCCTGACTTGTATAATCGTCATTCAATTATGTCAAGCATCACTGAAGTTACATACCAAAAATCAAGACGACACGTCAACCTGTACTTGAGTTATCCTCCAAATGTTTTTCAACAAATGCTCCTGCAGTTCTAGAACAAGCTGTTAGGGGGTCCTAATTCACGTACGTCACTTCTTTCCTACCTTAAAAGCTACCAACCATTCAATATTTGTAACCCTAACATGTCCAAATCACGGAATATAAAACCCGGATGTTCAGCTGCAGTACCATAACAAGCCACCAAGGGGCCCAAAATCTAATCATGCCGAAGTCTCATCAAGACCTACGCGTATACCGACCTACCAAATATCAAGACAATCATCAAAGCCTTCTGGAGCTATCATGTTGACACACGCGTACACACACGCGCTCGCACGCACGCACGCACACACACACGCACACGCACACACGCGCACACACACACACACACACACATTTGTATAATCGTCATTCAATTATGTCGCATACACACACACACACACACACACACATACACACACACAAACACAAACAAAGGTAACAACGCTTTCCACCCAACCTCTAGGCGGTATCATCACAGAGCAGGACCTCCGGGACTACCAGGTGGAAGTGACGCCTCCCCTCAACATCTCCCTGGCGGGAGGTCTGACTGTCTTGTCGCCTCCTCCTCCAGCAGGCGGGGCCGTCTTAAGTCTCATCCTAAACATCTTGGACGGTATTATGGTTTCTTAAAGATTCTTTTGATGTTGTGTTAATGCTGCCAATGTTGAGCAAGCTCGTTAAATACACTTTGACGAAAAGGACAATAATCATCATCTTAACTACAATTTTGTACAAAATATATCTGGTATGGCAATGAAGGTTTAGAACGATAGAGAAATATATTAAGGGACTTTGACAGAATGTTAGAGTAAGGGCTCTTGATTTCTGTTTTTCAGTCTACTACAATACGACATTGACTTCATCTTTAGAATTAGTTATGGCATGCGTAGGATTTGTGTGGGTTTTAACTGTTAACATGATAGAAGAAAACAACCAAAGTGCGACATACAGGCAGTATCACAGCAAGCGTTCTTCCTTCTTGTACAGGTTACCGGTTCAGCCCCGCTAGTGTAGACGGGGTTGATAACCAGATCCTGACCTACCACAGGATTATAGAGGCATTCAAGTTCGCCTACGCCAAGAGAAGTGAACTCGGAGATCCCAACTTTGTGGACATTGATGAGGTGGGTCCACACAGAACGCAGGGTTTGGGTATTGCAGACATTACGTCATAGCTAGATGTTTCCTGATTTTCGGACCTCGAGCTTATCGTGAAGCTAATACGTATAGTTCGATTTGAAGTATTGAATAATAACATTATCTTCCTTTCCAAATGCCAGAGTTTGTCGATGTTAAAGTGACAGGTTGCACACTGTGCGGATTGCTTTATTCAGACTGGCTGTAACATGGTACTATTGGTAAAGATTGAAGGGATATTTATCAATGATGAACTTGAGCTATAATCCACAATTGAATAATGGAGCATGAAGATTTAGATAGCCAGGCCTCAGTGTTATTGCTACCTTACAAGTTACATTTCATGCATACCTCGAGAACTGACTCTGGGTAGCTGATTTTTGTTGTTCTCTGAAAAGCTGACCAGAAACATGACGTCAGACGATTATGCAGAATCTCTCCGTCGGCGAATCACCGACGGCACGACGCACGACTACAGGTGGGTAACAATGTCGCCTGGTCACACCACGTCTCTAACAGCCATTAAAGCTTGATGGACAAGACTCATAATCCATCGACATCTACTTCATTTTTAATGACAACACTTGGCAGCTGTGAGTTATTGATTAACCACTGAATTCGTGAACTCTTATATATGATGTACACTTTCAGTGGCGATTGCTCACAATAGCATATTATTATGTTTACCGAAGGAAAACATATTGTTTTTGCTCAGTTTCTTCTTCCTCCTGCTCTCCAAACAGTGACCTCTGACCTGAACCAATGTTGGGTCTGTCACCATGGTAACTATAATGTTGTAATTTCATAGCCTGATCCGATCGGCCCCTGAAAGCGAAACATTGTCCGATAATAGCTTCATCAGGTTGGTATAGGGTTTTCTTTTACACAACCAAATACTCCTACCTTGCTTACGTTTCGGTGTCTATCAGACACCTTCCTCAGAGCTTCTGACTGGAGTACTGCTTCTCGCCGCTGTATGTAGCCGATGTAGGTGGCGCTTTTGCGGCGAGAACACTATCACAAACATGGCCTCGTCTCGGTTCATCACGGGAGTGGACTGCTTCTTTAATCCATCGGATTGTTCTGTTGTCTTCTCTGTCCATGACCTTGGCCTACACCAGGAATTTGACAGTACCATCCCCCTTTCGTACCAGGAGAGTGTCCAGAAAGGGTAGTGTGCAGTTCTGTTCCTCCTCCTGTGTGAACTGTATGCTACCATGTTTGGGATTGTGTTCCCGCCGCAAAAGCTGAGAAGCAGAACTCCAGTCAGAAGCTGTGACAAAGTGTCTGAGAGACACCGAAACGTAAGCAATATTTGGTTGTGTAACAGAAAACCCTTATACCCTAGTAAGACATTGTGTAACACAGGCTAGGGGGCCAAATCAAGCCATGTTATTGGGAGATTGCGTCATGCAAGCTACGGTACCGGTGTGTCCTGTCCCTGCAGGTATTACGACCCGTCTTTTGTCCTGCCTGAAGACAGCGGGACGTCACACGTGTCTGTTCTAGGGCCAAATGGCGACGCCGTGTCGGTTACCAGCACCGTTAACCTGTGGTGAGTCCTTAATCAATATTATCATATAGCCAGAGGACGCCGACCAATCAGAACGCTCCATTTTGCCATTGGTTATCAGGCCGCAACCTCAAAAGTGGTCGATTATTTGAATAACCGATCACTTTTTGGACCGTACCATTATACAGAGGACCGGACATATTTTTTGACACCAGGCCGCAGACGATCTGTTTTTCTGTCCACGCCATCATGTTTCACGTAACAATAGAATGTGAGAGTTTTTCGGCAATGGATAACAAAGCACCTCAGCCCACGTAGAATATATATCGCAGGCGGATCTGGAGGCCTGTCAGTTCGATAGGCTATGTGATAATAACGTTAATGCCCCGCCTTATCCTCGGTATGTATGGTGAGATCATCTCTGGGCAGGTGCGATAACCACCTCTTAAACCACCTTGTTCACTACGCTCACTTGGTGGTTTATTCGGTGTTGATCGCACCTAACCATAGATTATCTCACCATATACACCTTTAATTATAAAGTCAACATTACCCGACTGGCATTTACTACCATTGGTAAATCCAAGTTCTCGTGCAGAACATTTTGACTCATTTAGCGGCAATAATAGTGTATGTATGCCTATATTGTGACAATTCTAGGATGGAGCCAAATCTAACAATGGCGTCGGTAAGTGAGCTAGAAGATGTTCATACGAATCAATTATGAAAATGTATCTGAAAGTGTTCACGTGTCTCTCATCATGTACTTAGCAAACTCTGATGCATCATCTAACAGTTTAGGCTCCAAGTTACGGTCCGCTTCGACAGGGGTGATACTCAACAACCTGATGGACGATTTCTCCTCCCCCAACCTCACCAACTTTTTCGGAGTTCCTCCTTCCCCTGGTGAGTACTGTTGCGTAGGTTTTTCTTATGATCCACAGAATCAGACAATATTTTGGCTTGCTACGACACTGCAATTTGTTACGTAGATTTGCAAACATGACGGAGATGCCATGAATATCTCGTATATAACTAGAAAAGTAGGTGAGGCAAAATCGCACTCTTTACGAGAAAGGTAAAATGTTATGATACATATTTAAAGCATGAAATGAAACGCAGAAAGATCTTAACGGTCTTCCTAATCAAGCAGTAGTCTCATTGTACTACACATGGCCACCCCAGCCAACAGTCTCATTGTACTACACATGACCACCCCAGCCAACAGTCTCATTGCACTACACATGGCCACCCCAACCAACAGTCTCATTGCACTACACATGACCACCCCCGCCAACAGTCTCATTGCACTACACATGGCCACCCCAACCAACAGTCTCATTGTACCATACATGGCCACCCCAGCCAACAGTCTCATTGCACTACACATGGCCACCCCAGCCAACAGTCTCATTGTACTACACATGGCCACCCCAGCCAACAGTCTCATTGTACTACATATGGCCACCCCAGCCAACAATATCATTGTACCACACATGGCCACCCCAGCCAACAGTCTTATTGTACTACACATGGCCACCCCAGCCAACAGTCTCATTGTACTACACATGGCCACCCCAGCCAACAGTCTCATTGTACTACACATGGCCACCCCAGCCAACAGTTTCGTTGTACTACACATAGCCACCCCAACCAACAGTCTCATTGTACTACACATAGCCACCCCAGCCAACAGTCTCATTGTACTACACATGGCCACCCCAACCAACAGTCTTATTGTACTACACATAGCCACCCCAACCAACAGTCTCATTGTACTACACATGACCGCCCCAGCCAACAGTCTCATTGTACTACACATAGCCACCCCAACCAACAGTCTCATTGTACTACACACGGTCATCCCACCCAACAGTCTCATTGTACTACACATGGCCACCCCAGCCGACAGTCTCATTGTACTACACATGGTCACCCCAGCCGACAGTCTCATTGTACTACACATGGACACCGCAACCAACAGTCTCTCGCAACAAACAACTCTCACAATTCTCATTGTACTGTACATGTTCAACATCTAATGAGTGTCTTGTTCTTATCCCTCGTAGCCCAAGGGCTTTACTCTGTACCGAAACTTTTTCTGCCAGCTAACTTCATCAGACCCGGGAAACGGCCCGTGTCGTCCATGACCCCGACCGTGGTGGTGGATGGGAACGGTGACGTCAGACTGGTGACGGGAGCGTCCGGCGGCACAAAGATCACCACGGCAACGGCTTACGTAAGGCAAACGTCATCATACACCTCGTCCAATCAACCTCTTCGAAAGTCAGATTCGAATATTCTTGATCCGACAAATTCTTCCCAAGCTTACGTGACCCAAAACATCTGGAGTTTTGCCATTGACAAACGCATAATTAGTGACATCAGATTTTATCAGTCCCCTGATCGGGCGTCTTTAGCAGTTTTGACTTCAGGACTTGTATTACCCACTCTCGCCGCACAAGTCATCTATTCTGTGTGATTGGAGATGCTAAATTCCTGGTGCGCATGCTCAAGTTATCATTTTTGTAAAGTGACCTTTTCAAAGTGTACAGCGGCCGAGCTTACTAGCACTACAGCCTGCTGTGCAGGCTTCCGAGCAGGTGCGCGTTTTAATACAGGGTTTTTTCCCGGCCATGCTACAACCTAGCTTTTGGCTCAGGTACCTGAGAAAAAAGTATTTTGATCCCTGGACTTTGTATCATTAGACCAATCCCGAATGTCCATCACAATTAGAAGTTCAACCAATGAGAGAAGGGAAATTACCGGTTCGACCAATGAGAGGGTGACTGCATGTCCGTCAAATATTTGTATTCCTATGTTTTGACGGAAGTGGGCGGGGCTTCAGGATCAGTCTATTCGGTATCGTGACGTATCATAACGGTCTCGTGATCTCCCAGGTCCTGATGCAGCACCTGTGGTTCGGGCTGGACCTCGGGCCTGCCGTGGAGACACCCCGGCTGCACCACCAGCTCCTACCTGATCTCCTGTTTACTGAAAAAACTAGACCGTTCAAGCCAGAGGTGAGTATAATAGCACACTGTATTCTCCTAGCACACGTTTAGTTTATTTATTTCACCGGAAAATGCACCCCCGACATAAAATTAAACAATATTACAACATATGATCGTGAGAAACAAAAATACTAGTAAACTAAAATAGATAAACCTTCACTAAGTATAAGTAGACGTCACCGGTAATTCATAATGAAAGAATATCAAGATCAAGATTTAGTAGAACAGCAAAGTGTGTTTATCCAGACGTCAAGTAATAACAGTAACAATAAGTCAAAACACCACATCAACCTAAATTTAAAGTACCTATCTATGTGCAGCATAGTGTCAGGCAGTTCAATTTAGGCGCCAAAATGTGACACTGATGAAAAATTTATTACAGATCATAGAAATAGACCTACAAGTCAATCATGTCAGATAAACAAAATATATTGTCAAAATATGCCCCAGGATGGGTTATTTAGTACCTTAACGTATATGAATGAATGAATGAATGAATGAATGAATGAATGAATGATACTTTATTTCCGTGTCGTGCGCTATCCCGCGCCCAGCCCGTGTGGGCTTATACGACACCGATTCAATAAGTTATACATAAACAAAAGACGATCAAAGGAACAGATAACAGAATCCAAACAAAATATGAACGCAAATAAAGGTAAGCTAGTATTGACTGTACTTTATATTCTAATGAAAGATTTGTCCTTTTTAATCATATCAAAGAGAAGTTCCCATACTTTGAACACCTAAATGCAAACGATAAATTTATATTTTTGATGCGTCTAGACAAACCCTGTATCACAAACATGATCTTTTCCCACATTTTCCATTGTACAAAAAAGCGAGAAGAAGTTGACCACTCTGCATTATCTCAGTAACTAGAACACTTTGTATTAGCCTAGTGTAGTCAAGTAGTGTATCTTTTTGTCTCCACTTTTCTACATACGTTGTGTGTCCGTTAAGTCTTGACCTGCACCTAGCCCGTCGTGGCATGAATGTACAATAAAGGTTTTTCATCTCATTTTCCGCACTCACGACCAGGCCGTCCTGGAGGGTCTACAGAAGAAGAATCACGTGACTGACGTGATATCCTCCGCCTGCGTCAATAGCGTGGCCAGGAAAGGTGGCGTCATCAGCGCGGCCAGCGACTCGCGGAAGGGAGGATTTCCTGTGGGGTTCTGATACGAGCAACAAGCAAGATGCATATGTTCTATTACTTTTGTAGCTCACTTGCGTCCAGATTTTGGACGAACCCAGGTTATTTCTTCTTTGCAGTTTTGCACGTAGTGGTTGCTTCAGCAGCCATTCCGCTGACGCAAACACAGTTTGAGGTTCCACACAGTTCTCCCAACGTGAGCGCTTGCATTTGTTTGTTGGTCTGGTGTTGCTGTCTTTGTTCGGTTGTTGCTATCAACTAGCCTGTTAAAGATTGAACCGATACATGTACCTACTATAACTTGCCATACCCTGCCAAATACGACTACATTACTGTTACTCTTCATTTTGTGGTGTATAATGTTTATGCGTTACATTATCTATCATTGCCATTTCTGTGAAATCCTTAAAACATCTACTGTTAGTTTGTGTAACATTACGTAGTGCTACAATCTGCGTAAAAAGTGTGCTTCATTGCGTGTTATCTGCTAAGTCGTGATGGTATTGAAAACTGTTTTATTGTGCCGTTCTACAAACAACCAGCAGAATTATGAAGATACCCGTTCTCAATACACATGCTGCAAACTAAAGTAATGGCAGTCCTACGAAAATTTCTCTTTGTAATGTATAAGCGCTTTATACCGACGAACAATGGGTGTGAAGTACGCGTTTTCGCCCATCGTGTGCCATCGGATCAGTGGTAATTGGGTACTCTACAAGTGAAAGAACCGCGTCCGTGGGCCTTGATAAATTATTCATAAGTCGGTCGCCGCTAGAAATTTACTGGATGGCATTCAGTGACGACCCCCCCCCCCGTCTAGATAGGGTTAAACCACCAGGTGACGTTAGTTCGCGTAAGCACATGTTTGACTCAGCCTCATACCTACACCTCTTACCTCCATCAATATCCTTTTCTTCCTTCCTTCCTTCTTTCTTTCCTACCTTCCTTCCTTCCTTCCTTCCTTCCTTCCTTCCTTCCTTCCTTCCGGACGACAACCACGGATCACCTGCGCACGAGGCACCCACACATCGGACTAGCACTGCTAGGGGACTTCAACCACCTGAATATTCGGGACGTCCTGCTGGACAGAGATCTTTCCCAAGTAGTTCAGGGCCATACCAGAGGTAATGCCACCCTTGACCTGATCATATCTAACATGAAGTCGTTCTACCAGACACCTGAGATCCTCCCACCAATTGGACTAAGTGATCATTTCTGCATTCTGTGGCAACCCAGAAGTAAACTGAAAAACAACCTGTGTACGAAACACGTCACCCGGCCTATCCGTGAACCCAACCTGAGCGCGTTCGGTAAATGGATTACTTCCCACTCCTGGGATGAAGTGTACAATGCTCCAACCACACCCTGACCAGCGCAGTGGGCAAGTTCTTCCCGTCAAAAACGGTCAAGCTGCACCCAAACGACAAACCCTGGATATCTCCACGTATAAAACAGCTCATTACACAGCGGTAGAGGAGCTTTCAATCCGGGTGCTCGACAACACTGACGAAGTTCTACAGAAACAAAGTAGCACGGGAAATCAGGAAAGCAAAAAAACAGTTCTACAACGTCAACGTTGACAACAACCTTAACAGCAACCCCAAGTCCTGGCACCACAAGATCAAGGTCATGTGCAACACGACTAAGAAAGCCTGCCATATCCAAGTACCAGGTATTGACCACAACAACTACAGTGCCATAGCAAACGCGATCAATGTCAAGATCCCCAGTATATCACAGTCCCTCCCACCATTGGACACGTCTATGCTTCCAGCCTTCCTACCGGCACATCCTACTCCTACCATCCACGTGTGGGACGCATACACAAACTCAAATCCACGAACTGTAACAAGAGCCCTGGACCTGACGGCGTCCCGGCCCTGATTCTGAAGGAATTTGCATGCGAGATCAGCGGGCCTTTCTGTGAACTGATGAAATCGTCCTTCAGAGAAGGAATCGTCCCTCGCCAATGGAAAGAAGCAAATGTTATTCCCCTTCCCAAAACCTCACCACCTGATATAAACGAGTTAAGACCGATTTCTCTCACTGCACAGCTCGCCAAACACTGTGAACGCTTCGCCGCACACTGGATTATGCAGGACATATCCACCAACCTGGACCCCAGACAGTTCGGATGCAGAAATAACAGATCGACCACTCATGCCCTGATCAGCATGCTTGACTTTCTCTACAGATCATCGCCAGTTCCTAACACCATCAGTACGCTCATTACAACTGACTTCTCTAAAGCGTTCGACTTGGCCGACCATACCACCGCAGTGAAGTGCCTGATTGATTTAGGAGTGCGACCATCCCTCCTTCCATGGATCTGTAGCTTTATGTCCAACAGACGACAGCGTGTGCGCTACCATGGCCAAGTTTCGGACTGGCAACATCTGTCTTGTGGTGTAGCACAGGGAACCATCCTGGGTCCTATTATTTTCCTTGCACTGATCAACAGTGCACTCAGGGAGCTAAGCAACAGGTGGAAATATGAACCTCACCCAAGTCAGATTCCTCCACCAACAGTGTTCACTACAAACCTCCCTTGACAACCTTAGCACCTGGGTCAGAGAACACAAAATGAAGATGAACTCCCGAAAGTGCAAAGCACTCCACATCTGCTTTGCGAGGACCCCACCCACCCCTGAACCACTCCTCATTGATGGACAAACACTTGAGACAGTTGTTCACATCAAAGTCCTGGGAGTGACAATACAGAGTGACCTCAAATGGGACATACAAGTAGACAACATGATCAGCGCTTCAAACAGAAAACTGTTCCTGTTACGCCGACTGAAGAGGTTTGGAGTCACTACACAAGACCTCACAACCGTCTACATCCACCCTACATCGTGTACATCAGACCCACTATGGAATACGCGGCACCGGTGTGGCACCCGGCCCTGGCCTGTACACACAGTCTGCAAGGCTAGAACGACAAAGGCTAGAACGACAACAGAAACGAGCATGCAGAATCATCCAGGGCACACAGTTCACAGACTACACCTCAGCACTGTCTACACTGAACCTTGACCCCTTGGCAGAACGACGTACCCACCTATGCCTCACCTTCGCCAAGAAACTCCTCAACTCTGAATTCAGTGACTGGTTACCCCCACCCCGTAAACAGATATCCGGCAGAAACACACGCAGTGCTAACAAACTGGACACTCCCATCTGTAGAACAACTCGACACAAAAACTCTGCGATTCCTTACATGACAAACTTGCTGAACAAACACTTTAACTGACAATCTGTAAATACCGACGTGACCTCATGAATTGTATTATATATAGAAGACTATACAAGTTTTATCACACTTATATTTATTGATTTTAAACCGAATTTGATTCATTGTCTATTTTAACTCCTTAGCGTTTTTAATCTATTTCATTGTAAATGCCTGTCAATTCAGACTAATTGTCTGCAAGAAGGTGTGTGAATAAAGTTTCAAAGTTTCAAGTTTCAAGTTCCTTTATATACCCATTGCTTCCGTGCCGTATTAGGCCACACCGACTTAACTTTATGGATGACATCCTCTGAATACCCCCCAATTAGTGCGAGCGGGCGAAAAAAAAAATTCCGGCCAAAAATAAAAATGCTACTTAACTACAGGAATACAAAGCTGGTATTGTGAATTTGCGGCAGTACATAGCGACGACAGGCTGGCACATGCTGGCTTTTTGTGGAATTTATGAATCGGCACTGTACGTATGTACTGAGTTCTAGAGTCGTGGAGCTTCGGAAGCCTAGGTGCCATCTTCTAGAGTTACCACATCCGAATTGTCACTAACTATGGAGTACCCAGGCCTAGAGACAGGCCAGAGCCTCGGAGGACGTGATTTTTTTTTGAGAACAGGCGAAAATCAATGCGCGCGCGGATGTCATCCATAAAATTAAACCTTACTGTCGGCTGAAATTACGTGAGCTAAAAGTAAGATGTGTTTTTGTGCCGTAAGCACATATACACTTATTAATGCACACTACTCAGATTATAATGCGGAACGTAATGTGAAACACGGAACAAAGAACAAAGATTGTGTTTTCTTATTACCTCCATGAAAAAAGGAGGTATTGTTTTTGGCGTGTCTGTCTGTGTGTGTGTGTGTCTGTCCGTGTGTGTGTGTGTGTGTGTGTTTGTGTGTGTGTTTCCGCACATTTGTAGTCAGCATAACTTCATAACGCCTTTATGGATTGTGATGATATTTGGTATGATGGTAAGTCTCATGAAGACAAAGGTCAAGGTCAAATATGGGCCTCCTGGTAGATGACCTTGGTACTGCAGCAGAACTTCCGGTTTTTGTATCTTTTGTCCTGAACATGCTATTCATTTCATCATTAGTCCTCTTGCTATGGTCTTGACTTTTTGGTGACAGATACGAGGGGTGTTCAAAAAGTTCTCGGCCTCACCTAGAAAACGTCATGGCAGTAAAATTTTTCTTACACTATTTTTTAATATAGTCCTCTCTAACTGCAATGCACTTGGTCCAGTGATGTTCCAGTTTTGTTTTCCCCTTGTGGAATAAGGTTGCATCGGGACCCCCCAGATTGGCCTCTACCGCATAGATGACGTCATCATTACCATCAAAACGTTGACCACGTAAGTGGAACTTGAGTTTAGGAAACAGGTAGAAGCCCGAGGGTGCTAGGTCAGGTGAATTGGAAGGGTGGGGTTAGACTGCAAACCCAAATTCGTTTGCTGCTGCCACTGACCCCTGTGCTGTGAGGACAGGTGCATTGTTAGCACGCCAGCTCGGAGCTTTCCTGTCCTGTTCTCTTTGATCGTTGTCCTCAACTGTCGTAATTCTGTTGAATAGTACTCCCCATTGATGCTTTAACCCCTTCGCAGGTAGTCAATCATGATTACTTCCTTACTGTCCCAGAAAACAGAGGCAAAAACCCTGTCAACGGACGAAAGTCGCTAAAACTTCTTGGGAGGCCGGGAAAAATTCTTTATCTATTGTTCGCTCTGCTGTTTTGATTCGGGGTGAAAGTGGTGAACCCAGCTCATCTTGGGTTACAAATGTTTTGAGAAAATTGCATGCATTGGACTGAATTCGTTCCTTGAAATGTCCCGCCTGTTTAACTTCTGATGTTCAGAAAACATTCCAGGCACCCACCATGCAGACGGTTTGTTCATCCCCAGAATGTCCGACAAAACATTGTCAACTGAGTCATAACACAGGCCAAAGAACCTGCTACATGTTGGGCAGTATCACATCTGTCATTCACTACCATGTGATGGATGGCCTCAACTGGATTGTCCGTGGTGCTGATTTGTGGCATCCTGACCTATGTTCATCTTTTGTGCTCTCCTT